CACACACACACACACAAATGTTCACATATACCACACCCACACACCCACACACAAATGTTCACATATACCACATACCACACACACACACACACACACAAATGTTCACATATACCACATATCACACACACACACACACACACACACACACACACACAAATGTTCACATATACCACATATCACACACACACACACACACACACACACACACACACACACAGGAATAAAGAAATAAGGAATACTTGAAAATCCCTCACACATCTGTCATGTACTCAGTGGTTATTAATATTCCCCCACGCTTGCCTCCCCTGCCCCCACATTTCAGTGGAGCAACATGGCAGCACTTCAGCCCTAACACTTTGAGCATTGTCTCTGAATCCGCGGCATCCTCCTCTGCATACACATCCTCTTCATACACTTTAAAACAGTGATGTTATTAAAACACTATTTAAAATAAATCCATATTTAAATTTCCCCTATTTTTGGTGCATTTATTTTATGCTTGTTGCTTAATCTAAGATTAAAAATAAAACCCCACATTACAATGGCCAGCCAACCTGACCCCGAAGTTTTGAATGGTTTTGGGGAGTGGACATTTCTCCAGGGCAAGCAGGAACGAGAGAGCACATAAGAACTTGGCAACTTCAGCAGGAAAGGAGCCCTTGGGATTGGGTTCTGGGCCTCCTACCTCTTTCCTACAGATGTTTCCACATCTTCAGGCAAGAGCTTACACAAGACAACCCTGGACCCCAAAAGACCATAATGGAGAGAGGTGAGTCAGGCCTGTGGACTCAGAAGTCACGTGGCACTCAGGTTGAATTGCTCTGGATTTGACCCTCAGCAAACCACCTTACCTCTCTGAGCCTCAGTTTCCCCATCTGCAAAATGGGTGTGTGAAATGAGCTCCTACCTCCTAGGGCTGTGATTAGAGATAAATGTTATATTCTTGGGAAGGCTGAGGCCCAACAGCAAGCACTCAGGCGTGACAGACAAAAGCTCTTGTTGTTACTCGGAGAAATGGCAGACTCCACAATGGCAGCCCTCATCTGCACAGCAATTATCCTGAGCATATGAAGAGCCCTTCACAGTCAATGAAGTACTTTCTCCATTATCTCCTGGGGAAGACACAGCAGTCCAGGGAGGTGGCCCACGTGGGACAATTATCTCCACTTGAAGAGGAGACCCTAAGGCCCTGAAAGGCTGAACAGGTTGACTGAGGTTACCAGCTGTCTAACGGAAGTTTCCAGCTCCCTCCTGTTGCCATGGCATCGTGCAGCGTGGCTCTTCATCCGTCCCCTCCTTGATGGCTCTCATCTTGGCTCGTTTCAGTCCATTGAATGTCCGGCTGAATCAGGGCAGTTCTGTGTCCACTGTGACTGGGAAGATGCTGCTGCAGGGATTGTGATGACACACAGGCCCTCCTGCTGGCGGGCCCACAAAGCTGCCAACAGGCAGGCGAGAACTGGGAGTGTCCGTCACTGGACCCCTCTCCATGAGCCTGCTAGGGGCTCCTTCAGCAAAAACTGCCCTGTCACACGGAGCCAAAGGATTCACTGAAAATTAGGTCTCATTTCCCAGGACTCACTTTTTAAAATCAAACTACAAAGTCAGTGTGAAAAATGGCTTCCCATTTGTCTTGAGTTTCATTTCCTCAAACAGGAGGCATATGACGTGCAACGAGATCGATGCTTCTCCGGAATAATGTGCCCATAGACATCCGGTGCTGAAAACCTCATGGGGTAGGGATGGGAGCTGACCGACGCCGCGCTGCATCAGCCACGTTGAGAGTAGGAAAATCAGTTCCCCATGGGCTTGTCAGGAAAATGCACCACGTTAAAGTCAAAACACAAAATACCTAAGCAGTTTTGAGGTGCCCAGTGGTGGCGCACGCCTTTAATCCCAGCACTTGAGAGGCAGAGGCAGGCGGATCTCTGTGAGTTTGAGGCCAGCCTGCTCTACACAGCTAGTTGTAGGACAGCCAAGGCTACACAAAGAAACCCTGTCTCAAAAACAAAAAACAAAACAAAACAAAGACAAAAAAAAAATCATCTTGCCACACACACACAAAGGGAAAGTTTCCAAGTATCCCAAGTAAATAATGTATTCTCCTCCCCCCTCTCTCCCCCCTGTCTCCCACCTCTTTTCCTGTGTGTATGTGAACATGTATGTACGCACGCACCCGTGTGTGAATTTGGAGGTCAAAGGCTGAGGCTGGGTGTCTTTCTCAGCCACTCTCCATCTCCGTTTTTGAAACAAGGTCTCTCATTGGACCGGGAGCTCGTTGATTTAGGTAAACTGGCCGGCCGGTGTGCTTGAGAGGTCCTCCCGTCTCTCCCCACCAGTGCTGAGGTTCCAGGTGTGGCCTGCCACCCCTGGCTTTTTCGTGGGTGCTGGGGCTCTGAACTCAGGTCCTCAGGCTTGCACAGCGGCTACTTTACCAACTGAGCTGTCTCTCTAGCCCCCAAGAATGTCGTCTTCTATTCTTTTTTTTTTTTTTTGGTTTTTGGAGACAGGGTTTCTCTGTGTAGCTTTTGCGCCTTTCCTGGAGCTCACTTGGTAGTCCAGGCTGGCCTCGAACTCACAGAGATCCGCCTGGCTCTGCCTCCCGAGTACTGGGATTAAAGGCGTGTGCCACCACTGCCCGGCTCGTCATCTTCTATTTTTTACATTTATTTATTTAGCACTGGGGGTGGCACACCACAGCATGTGGGTGGAGATCAGAAGACAGCCTGTGGGAGGGGGTTCTCTCCTTCCTTCACACAGTTCCGAGGAGTCAAACGCAGGTTGTCAGGCTCGGCAGCATCTTTACCCAGAAAGCCATCTTGCCCGCTTAATGTCGTTGTTTAACAACCCTGCTGACGTGTTCTGGGACCGGCCACTCTTCCCTGGTCTTTCCTGCTGCTCTTGTCGTTCAAGCTGCAGATACAGTCCACAGTCAGGACAGCGAGTGGAAAGATAGGACCCATGAGCTCTGGGCCAGCCATGGGCCGAGATCTAGACAAGCCGTCCTGGGAACCAGGAAGGTCACCATCAGCCCCGTCCTCAGGACATGTGGGTCGGGCCACTGTCAAGCCATGCAGGCCTCGACTCTTTCCCAAGGCCTCGAGAGGTGCCTGCCCCAGGGTGCCTCCTGCTGTTCCTCTCTCTTGTCCCTCAGCAGTCTATCAGTCCTGGTCCTACAAATGACCCCCGCCACCGAGGTGCCTAGTGATGGAAATGTCTTAGGTTGGCAGGTCCTCCCCTCTCCGGAGGCTCTCGGGGTGAGCGGTCAGATGTTCTTTGGCTTCCAGTGACTTCTGGCAGTCCTTGGTGTCTCTTGGCTCCAGGCTCAGATTCTGCCGTTACAGTGCTGTGCC